ACTCGAGGAGGGGTCCTTCTGCTAAGCCTGCCCCCTCTCACAGTCTGGTAGACCTCAGGGGTGGGAGGTGACCGAGTGATCAGGGGAAGGCGGCGCCTCCATCACACTTCTGCTGCTGCCACTGCCAGGAGTGCAAATCTCAGCCTCGGTGGGGCAGCCGCCATCCAAAGCTTGCCTGTGCCTCAGGCCCGCCCTGGGTAGCTGGGCAGCCACCATCCAAGGCTTGTCTGTGCTTTGGGCTGGCCTGGAGGGCTGAGGGGACTGGAGGACTCCAAAGGCAGGTGTGCGGAGCAGCCAGACCCACCTGGGGTGGGCCGGGCATGCTATGTGCCTGCTGCCTTGGGAGGGCCAAGAGAACTGGGCACTGCTATCTTGTGGCTGTGGGCGCTGCCATCTTTGAGGGTGTGGCAGTCAATTAGCATATTCCCTCTTTATTATATAGGATGATGACAAGTCCCTATTTCCAGGCCCTGCATTTTCTGTTGTGCATCTTCCTTTCTTTGAAAATATATATAACCCAAACAGTGCCCAGGTATAGGAAAATCATGGTCACAGCACTGACTCCTGGCCAATTCTAAGGGAGTTCCCCACCTGTTGATAAAGTGTATGTAGCTTCAGTGTTTAGTACTTCATTTGAATGCTTAACCTGTGCATTTTTATAAAGAGGTCCCTCCAGAGGGCAGCAGAGAGCAGTTCTGCGGCCCTCAGGTAGAACCCAGGGAAAGGTGGAAGTAGAAGTGGTGGTCACATTCTACCCGGACTGCTGAGGGACTGGATTTTAATTTGGGAGAATTTAAAATCAACAGTAGGCTAAATTAAAAAAAAAAATCATCAATAGGGGGATGCATGGGTAAGGAATTTAGAACTTCACAACCCTGAAAAAGCATAGGTCCATCAGATATGAGAACTTAGGAGGCTTTGGAAGGAACTCAGTGTGATGGGCAACATTATCTGTGAGTGAGTGTGTGTGCATTGCCATGCAGAAAACATGGGGCTTAAGACCTCATTGTCTTTTAACAACATTTGTTGTTGCTGTGACATTCCTCCCACTGGGATATGGAACGTCTGTCCACCCCTCTGGACTGTGAACTCTCTGAGGTCAAGGACCATGTGCTATTGGAATTTTACACGCCCACTCCCACCCCACAGAGTGCCTGCTGTAGCATGGGTTCCAGACGAATATTCAGTGGAGGAAGCCGAATTATCATCTGCCATATCTTTATAGGTATAAAATAACTGAAAAGGTCTGCATCTCTTCTTGTGCAAGTATTTGGATTATCCTCAAATTTCAGAGGTTAAAACAGAACCAGCCTTACCTGGTGTGACTCCGTTGGAGTGTCCTGTACACTGAAAGGTGGTGGGTTCAAATCCTGGTCTGGGTACATACCCAGGTTGTGGGTTCCATCCCCAGTCAGGGCATGTAAGGTAGGCAACTGATGGGTATTTCTCTCTCACATCGATGTCTCTCTCTTTTGTTCTCTCTCTCCCTTCCTCTCTCTAAAATCAATGTAAAACATATCCTTGGGTGATGATTAAAAACAAACAAATAAACAAAACCATGTTCATAATGGTCCCTAACAGCATCTGTTTAATACACACACACACACACACACACACACACACACACACACACACACACTTCAGAGAGGAAGAGAGAGGGGGAAGGAGATAGAAACATCAATATGAGAGAGAATCATTGATCAGCCATCTCCTGCATGCCCCTTACTGGGAATCAAGCCCGAAACTTGGGCATGTACCCTGACTGGGAATCAAACCATGAACTCCTGGTTCACAGGTCAATGCTCAACCACTGAGTAACACTCACTGGGCTAACAGCATCTGTTTTTTATTAGCTGGATTAGGCCACTGTGGCTGCCACCTTTGAGGAGTAGTTATTGCCCTATCAGACACTTCTACTAAAACAGCTACTGGTGGTGCTGATGGAACAAGAGGGCAAGGGGCATGGATCAATGAGTCAGCAAAGAGCAGAAGAGAAATTAAACCTAGATAGCGCTTCTCGGGCAGTGTGAGTGCCCTGCTTCCTCCATGCTGTCTGTGGCCTCTTCATGCACTAACGGTGTTCTTCTAATCCCTATGTTGGCATGCTTAGGAGACAACAGCACTGGAACCTGGCATCACTCTGTGTTGCTATTCTTCTTGCTCAGTCTAGAGGGTGAATCCGACCCTGATTCTTTTTTTTTTTTTAATTTTTTTTCAAACATTTTATGTGAATACGTGTTAATCTTTTATTTTACTTTATTTATTTTTAATATATTTTATTGATTTTTTTACAGAGAGGAAGAGAGAGGGATAGAGAGCTAGAAACGTCGATGAGAGAGAACCATCGACCAGCTGCCTCCTGCACACCCCCCTCTGGGGATGTGCCCGCAACCAATGCACATGCCCCTGACCGGAATCGAACCTGGGACCTGCAGTCCGCAGACTGACGCTCTACCACTGAGCCAAACCGGTTTCGGCTGACCCTGATTCTTATAAGCATCGGAACTACCCTTGGTTTATAGTTTGGTAAGTCAAGAACCCTTCTCTGAGAGCCATCTCAACTTGAGAAAGTGTGGGTGAATGCGAGGTGGGGATTAGGGGATGAAGAGCAAGTGTGGGTGGGCATAAACCAAGGTGGCCAATGAGGGCTTTGGGGAGATGGAAAAAGGCGATGTGCTAGGGATGATGTCCTCTAACTTGCATACCAAGTCCTGCCGTTATGAATGAGCGCACAGGCACGGCATCAGCTCAGTGGAGAGAAAACCTAGAGGTCTCAGCAGGGACAGGGTTAGGAGAGGCTTCCAAGGATGGGAACAATGTTGGGCTAACGAGTGGAGAGCAGAAGGAAACTGGACACAAAAAGGAGAGAGAAGAGAGGACACATGTGCACACAGTGCAGAGGACCTGGCTTCGGACTTGTCTGTATGAAAATGTTCAAAGCTGGCAGGATATAGGCTGCGAGGGTGCCACCCTAGAGTGTCAGGGCCAGGGCAGCCCGCCCACCAGACTCATGTTAGTGCTGATGTCCTTTAGTCACTTGTTTTTAATCAGCAGCCTGTTCTCGGCTAGCTGCTCTGCTTGAGAGAGTGGCCAGGATAGAAGATCACCGCCACTGTATATTGAATTGTAGCTCATGAGGAATGCCCTTCCAAGGCCTCATTCGCCTCCCCCTCTTCTCCTGAACTGGGTAGAAATACACGAGGACACCTCAGAGCTTGGCCTGAGGAGTTTAGGAAAGTACCTCCTGCAGTTAGTTGCTCCCTTCCCTTGAAGATGGAGCAGAGGAATATTCTTGGTGTGTTCTACCTGGCTCACCTTGGTTTGGGGCCTTGACTGAAATCCTCACTCTCGGGTTCCAGAGCTAAAAAGGGATGGACACCCCATGCAAGGGATTCAAGGAGCCACTGTTTATCACCCAAGCCAGGGTGGCTCCTCAGGCCAAGCGTCCACGGTGTGTAGTCTGCCTACACGGAAGTAAGTGGAACATCCCTGCATTTCCCCAGGAGTGTCTGTATCCACAGCTGAGATTATATTTTGATCTATAACTAAGCTTAGTCTTTCCTCCACTGACGAGTCCTTGTCTTTCCATGGAGAAGAGTGAACACACCTTATAATCATGAGTTTGGTATTTTTATCGCCACCAACATAACATCTGTAGTGACATTCTCTACAGCTTTAACTCCTCTGGGAGCCTAAGGTGAATTATGTTTTTGTTCCAAAGCTGTTTCCTGACAGCCACTCCAGTTCTCCTGGGGCTCATCTACCTCTGACTGTGCTCTGATGGACTCCTGGTTCCTCACTCCTATCCTATAAATAGCTTAGTTTCTCTCCTCTGGAGAGCCAAGAGTGAATGAGTTCTGAGAAGACTCAGGTTTTGCACCCCTTACTGTGTGTGCGTGCACGCAAACACACACACACACACACACACACACACACACACACACACACACTGTTTAACATATGATTTATAGGGATTTTGAAGGGGATTTGTGGATTCATTGAGGCTTATCCAAGCACCCAGTGTAATCTGCCTTAGTTTAAATAGAAACATCTTTACTATGTGTTTCTAACACAGGATACATTGGGTAGCTGAGTATGTTCTCACAGCTCCCACTTTCAATGCCTCTACAGTCTTTGCCATTGCAAGTCCGCTATCAGCTGCTCCTCTCTTCTTTGAGGCAGTGGGCTTCAGAGGTGAGGTGGGACAGGGTAGTCCCAGGAGGTTGGATGCAGGTTTCTAGGGCTGACAACGGGTATCACTGAAGTTTTACATCCTACCAAGGGTCTCCAAACACAGGGGCCTTAACCAAAGCTCTGGTGGCAGTTGGAAGGGGGCGTCTGGCCAAGATCTCCTTTCAGGAGAGAACTGGTAGTGGGAGTGCAGCTGGCCGATGGCTGCCAGCTGCTGAACCTTCAGGACCCACCATCTTGTTCAAACACAGACCACTCCCTCCCCAGAGAGCATTCAACAGTGACCGAGCAAGGGGAAGTACCAGGCTTAGCCACTTCTGCCAATGCAGGCCTTCTCGATGGGCACCCTTTGGCACTCTGAGGCTTTCTGAGAGCTGTCCTGCATCTGAGGCTCCTCCTGTCCACTCCTCCCCTCCCCCTTTCCCTCAGGTGTTAGATCTGCACAGTGGTCTCAGCTTCCTCTGCCTATTCCAGCTTCCTCCCCCCCTCTATCTTTCCCAGGTGGTTCTATTCATCAGTCTCCTGCACCTCTAACTCTGCCTTGGGTCTGCTTCTGGGAGGACCTGAACTGACACAGCTCTTCTCGCAGGTGATGTCATTGTCACTTCAGACCATCCCACCTTATCTTCCCAGATTCCCACTTGGAAAGAGTTCCCACATTTTGTCAACTCATTTTGCTGCATGGTTAGGATATTTCTGGATATTGGGTTCCTTCCTTCTGACTATGCAAATCATTAGATTTCAGAGTAAAACCCCATTCAGTCTCTTATAGAGCATTGCGGGTCTCTGGAGATGAGACAGAGGCGTGAGATAGTCAAACACATACTTTATTTCTGCACGGAAATTCTTTCCAGGATCCCAGGCTGGAAAATGGGAACTCCAGGAATGACCCTGTTCCACATACAGGATTCTCCCCGAAAGCCAAATCAGAGAGGTCGGCTTCCCAGCTCCTCTTTTTGAAGAAGTCCCCCAGTCCTTCCAAAAGAAAGGACCTTCCAGCATGTCTCAGCATTATGGTGTGTGTGGGGGGAGAGGACAAGAACTCCTGCCCTTTAAGTTCCTCCCATAGAGGCCTGCCCCCTCCCCACCTCACCCCCTGTCACTGTGGTTTGACTGTGAGTTCACGGTGTACATCAGCTCCTCTCTGTGAAAAGACTGAGGAGAAGAGGTTGGCACAATACAAAGAACACATTGACAGCAACTGAATCCCATATTTTGGAAGTTAACATAACAAAGACTGGCCCATGATGTGTTATATTCTATTACTACTGAACAGTACGCCGCAGAGAAACACTTAGAAGATAAACATAGGGTGACACATTTCTATAAGAACGAGCCCATGCAATCATGGTGTTTCTCACATGTGGGAGCTGATGACGTTTTTTACAAGTTACACAGGTGCTGAGAATGGGTCGGAGGAAGGCCTGCTGGGCTGGTTCATAGGGGATGTTTGGCCATATTTAAAACTGCTCAGCACTCTCCCCCCCTCCCTCTATGTGCAGTGATGAAGCTGTCCAACCATGTCTCGCAAGATCCCCTGGACTGCCTGGTGGTGTTCCTTAACGTGACCTCAGAGAACTCTCACTGCAAAAGGCTCTCTGAAGGTCTCAGTCCTTGACTCAATTACACATATTAAGTCTTTAGAATCCTGGGAAGAATCAACTTCACAGCTGCCTCCATGCCTGCTGGTGGCCTCGACCCCCTAGGACTGCTTGGTTAGCTATGGCTCTAAAGAGTGAAAGGAGCCATGTATTCCCAGCTCAGGGCCAAGTCCAGAGCAGGTACTCAATAATTCTTGTTGAATTCAATTCCAACCCAAGTCCTTGACACTTTCTTCTTGAGTTCTTCTCATAATCATGCTGGTTCTCTATGACCCTTGGAAGAGAATTATCCACGCACGGCACAGTTGTTTATTGGAAGTCTGACTAATGCTTTCATCACTGACTTTTGCAGTCTCTAAATTATGTCTTCCGTTCATATATCTGCACTGAGCTGGCTTTACTCAATTTATTTGATCCTTCCCATGAGGCTTTGAAGAGTATAGTTCTTGGGTCCTTCTGACTTATACTGTTGCTAAACCCCACTATTTCCTCCCGCCCATCCCCATGCACACTCATGATTCTGATGCACACTCATGGCCTGGCAGAGTTAGAGCCAGCAGGGTTGGTGAGGCTGTAAGCTCTGTGGGCAGTGCTGTTTTCCTTCCATACTACAGATGCAGCACACGTGCCTTCATTCTTCAAACAATAAGGAGGACATTCATAAGTGTGACATGAGGCTTCTGCTTTCAGCCACAATGGGACAAAGCATGACTCTGGAAGAGAGGAAGGTGCTGCATGCTCAGTTGATGGAAATCCCTAAGCTGTACTGGGACATGAAGCCTTAAGTTCATGGCTCTCGGTAGATGAACTGTACTGTAAGGTCAGTGTGTTGTCTCACTTCTTATAGAAAGACTGCCAGCAAAGCCATGGGGTCAGGAGGGGAGATTCAGAGTCTAAAGGGAAAATGCAAGGTGTCCTCTTCCCTGAGGTGCTGCTGCAATCCCTTTGCTCACTGAACATCTGAGCACATATGAGATGTTACCGCAAAGCTGGTGCCTCTGTCCTAATACAACCAAAAGGCCAGATCAGGGAGCCCATGAATTCGTTTCCCTGATGTTATCTCCAGCTGCAGGCTCAGTCTGCTAAATCCTAGTGAAGAGGTGCAGGCTTTGATACCAAATCCTCCACTGTGTTAAAGGCTACAAACTTACTAGACAAAAAAGTACTCACATTTTAGGATAAATCAGAATGTCTGATATGGGTGTGGACACATGGTCGCAGCAGTTGCTACTTTCCAGGAGTATTAAGTCACTTCACTCTCTTTTCCTATTCTTTCTGAGACCACCATTTTTTTGTGTGTGAAACAAACAAAAAATTTATGTTCATTAAGCCATTGGAAATTTGAAGGGACACTTAGATGATCTCGTTCAGTCCCATAGTTTTACAAATAAGGAAAGAGAGGACTCTCCTGACTCTTGGTCCTAACAGGCATCAGCTGGGATCAGTGGACACAGTCTGCCTGCATCAGTTAGTTGCTCAGGGCAGTTCCTGGGGACACAATGCAGATGAATCTGAGGCTCTCAATCCCATGATGTTTAAATGGCCTAAAATATTGAGATGCCCAAAAAGGGGTAGACTTTGTCTTCTTTTCACGGGTGCTCAGAAAACAGGGTTAAGTATCTCTTTCAGATTTTCTGTGGGTCCTTTGTTTGTTCACTCTATCAAAAGAAGACATTCACCAGCGAAAGGAGGGTAATCTGAGCATGACCGAGAATGGCTTCATTGAAGTAGAACAGAGACTCCAGGCAAACAGATCAGTTGGGTCTGTTGCTCCATTGCAGGATTCATCTGGAAATGAGTGCTCATTCACAGCCAAACTTTTTTCTAGAACCATGGAATGGACTGTAAAGGACTAATCTTCCCATTTTACAGGCTCAGAGAAGTTCAGTGATTTGCCTTGGGTCACACAGCATGGGGTTGGCAACGACATGGAAGAATCCAGGTTTTTGGATTCCAGGATGGAATGTGTTTCCTAAACCATTCTGACCCCTTTCACAATTGTTAGGGTGATTCTGATGGTTTCTAGATCGAGGAGTTATCCATGCATGAAGTGAAGCAAGATAAAGACGATGGTGGCTGCCTCTGTTGAAGGCCCAGGGCCTAGGAGAGCATGTTGGAGTAGAAGCTGAAGCTCTCCGACATGGTCTTGGACTCACTGCGAGAGGAGCCATTGGAGGTCAGGTCCACGGGTGAGGGCGTGGCCTTGGGGCCTTCCTCCAGTTCTTCTTCATGGTTCCCCACCACCGTGGAAATGGTGGTTTCCAGGCGGCTGACTTTATACACACTGCCCTGGGCCTGGAGATACCGGGTGGACTTCATCTCCAGCCCCTCGTAGTCGCCGGCACTGATGAACGGGCAGCACCGGAAGGCATGCTTGAAGCCCAGCCGGAACCTGGAGGGAGAGAGGTGGAGAGGTGACCCTGGGGGACGGACAGACTTCTTTCAGAGGGCCTTCCCACCTTTGTGTCAGCTCCTTAACACATGGATGCACCCAGGTTCGATGCTGTGTTATTATTTTTTAAATTAATTGAGAACTGGAGACAGGAAGGTCCAGAAGACATAAAGGTTGGTCATTAAAGTCAAACCCAGTACTAGAACCCAGGTTCAGGTGAAATATGTCTTTTCTGAGGATAGCCACTGAACTATGCTGCCTCCACTGGCGCGGGGCAACCAACTTTGGTCAAGTCAACATTAAAGTAACACATTCACCGGGGTTTACTGTGTGAACTAGTTTTACTGCTAGTCACTGTGCAGTAAAAACACAAGAGTCAGTCCTTTCCTTCAGGTAGTTCACCGTCTGAAAGATGACTTTCTGCCAGTCAAGTTCATGTAGTATGCCTCATACAATCTGAGTCCTGCTCTGACTCTGTCTCTCTGTCTCCATGCACAGCCCCCCTGTGAAATGATTCATTGGGCAGTGTGAGCAAACTCTTAGGCCACAAACTGGATTCAACTTGTGGACCTACTTTGTTTACAGCAACCACAGAGGGTTTTTTCTTACCTGCACCTCCCACCCTCATTGACTTAGATGCCAGTGTTTAAAAGTAAGAAGATACCACACAACAATATGGATTTCTGGTTCCTCTTAGGAAAGAAAAATATGTGCACTCTGGTCTTATATTCTTGCAATGGTGATAATCAGCAGGGACTGAGTAAGGTGGTGATTAGTTTGCTGCAGGCCCCACCACTCTCTCTTGTCTCACAGCCAGGTTTGGTCATGTAGGTTGTTTGTTTGGTGCTTATATAGACAGATGGTTTTGTGGCCCCTGGAAAGAGTCTGGGGATGGGGTCCTCACCGGTCATTGAGGCAGCAGTAGATGATTGGGTTATACATGGTGGAGCTCATGGCCAACCACATGATAGCCAGGTAGAACTGCTGAATAAACTTCTCCAGGTAGATATCTGGGTTGATGTAGGGCAGGAGAAAGAAGATGTGGAAGGGCAGCCAGCAGACGGCAAAAGTGCACACCACAACGATCATCATCTTGACCACCTGGCAAGAGGGCAGACAGGTGAGGCCAGCAGCACATAATCCTTTTCTCATGGCTACTTTCTCTCTCCTCCTCCCCCTCTCACAGCCCACAGTGCAGTCTGGGGGAAGAAGTACTTATAATAAACCTTTTTTGAGGAAGAAGAAGGACCTTTTCTATGTGGCACCAAAGGGCTGGGTTATATCAATGGTTCTCAGTGTGCGGCCCCAGGACTAGTGTCAACACCACCACTTGAGACCTTGTCAGAACGCAAATTCTTGGACCCACCCAGACTTACCAAGTAAGAAACTCTGGGGTGGGACCCAGAATTCTGTGATTGACAAGTCCGTTCTTCCAATGATTCTGATGCACACTCATGGTCCAGAATCACCGTGTTATATCGTCCTCTGGGCAATGGCTGGAGAAGCCCAGTGAGACCAGATTAATGAGCCAAGGGGAACAGGTGTTCAAGAGGGAAAGAAGAGGGAAGCACCAAAAGTTAGAGCAGTGAGTTAGGGCAAGCTTCTTGCTTGGAGTATCAGCGGGAAGGAAGGATAAGGAATAGGTTTTGGACAGCTGCCCAAGAGAGCGGCTGATGTTTACAGGGGACTTGCAAGGTTTTAGGAACACTGGGTGATGTGACCTTTCCCTCTTTCCCCCCAAACTCAGTGAGAACTACCTCTCCTCCACATAGTAAAATGCTATGCAAAGATGCACTAAAAAAAAAAAAAATAAATAAATAAAAAAAATGAGGAAGCTCTTTATATATTAATTTTTTAAAGGTCTTTTGGCTATTAAGTAAAAAAAAAGTGAAGGGCAGAAAGTGTGTGCTTACTATTTGCGTAAAAAAGAAGAAGAAAGAAAATAATTTACATTTATTTGGCTTATAAATGCATTATAATATCTGGAAGAATTAATAATAAATAAATACCAATGGCTACCACAATGAGTGTGTGCATTAGCATGGGAACCGGTGGGATCCTTTTCATGGTAAAACTCACATATATATATTTTTTACTTTCCATTTTGAAATAATTTACAACTCCCAAGAAGTGCAAACACAGTACAAGAGTTCTCAGGTTCCTCCTGTACCTAACTATACCACGTGATCAAAACCAGGATACCAGCCTTCGTGTCAGGCTAGAAACTAAACTACAGACGGTGTTTGGATTTTGCCTGTTTTTACACACACACTCCTTTTTTGGGGGGTATGGTTCTATGAAGTTTTATCACATGTACAGATGAGCTGCAAACCCAGCCACAATCAGGATACAGAGCTGCTGCGTCGCTCCATCACTTCAAAGACGCTCGTGCTGTGCCTTTACAAGGCAGCCCCTCCCCCACAGGAACCCGCCTAACCCCTGATCTGCTCTCTACCATCATTGTGTTGTTCCTTTTTGATGTTTGCACCAAGTGAATGTATTACTGTGTCAAACTTTAAATAAATACTAAAAAGGGGACTGAATAACTCTTTAATGCTTTTGTAAGTTAGTGTGTGTGTGTGTGTGTGTGTGTGTGTGTGTGTGTGTGAATGTCTTGACAGATTGCAGTTCTCTTAAGGTGCAAGCAAGGCCATGCTTGTACAGGCAGACCTAAGTTTCCAAAACATTGAAAAAGAATGCCTTCCTTCTCCCTCCATTGCTGTTCCCTGGATTCAAGGATGTTTTGTGCCTGCTGAGCCTGAGCCTCCTGAGGCTCTGGGGCCCATAGGCTTGGGTTCGGTGCGTCCTGCCCCTTGCTCACCTTGCGTTTAGCAGAGACTTGCTCGTGATAACGGTCAGAGGAGTCCCCGGGGATCTCGCTGGCCCACAGCGTGATTCCTACGATGGTGTACGCATAGCCGATCACCAGCAGGGGGAGGAAGTAGATCAGCACAGGCACGCAAATGTGGTACCTGCAACAAGGCGGATGGGAGGGGGCATTCTAAGAAACAACAGGGGTGATGGAGGTTTGACAGCTGCCTTTCTCAGCGTTTGCCATTAGTTAGTTTGGATGATAAGACACACCAAAGGGAGGCTTGCCAGCTACAGTGGGTGAGAAGGTGGTATATTAATGGATAATCGAGGGAAAGCGTATCTCTTCAACTTTGTTTTTCTAGTGGACTTTTTCCAAAGTGATGGTTCCTGTTCAGATTGAAAAAAGAAGAATAAATATTGATTAAAGAGATCTGGATCCACTGTATACCCATGGCAATTTTAGTTTATATTAAGTTCAATCTTGCTGACATTCTCCCTCAAAAAAAAAAAAAAAAAGTATGCAACCCCAGGCATCATTCATATAAGTATATACTCTAGAAAGAAGGAGATGATTGTCCCACGCTGTCCATACTTTTCAGATGACACTTAGGTTGGATTTTGGTGCAGGGCTGCAGACCAGCTAGTACCCTCAGAGGAGAATCGCCCTAATTCATTCTATATAACAAATGGAGTCACGGATGTAAGAATAATTAGCTTGGAGGATAAAGAGAAGACTTAGCTTAGGATTGGTAGGAAAAAGCCACAAAGTCTGGTTCTTAAAAATGTATTTCCAGATGGAAGCTGCCTGGGTCCCTGAGTCATCACTCGGAGTTTATATGGCAACTGACTTGAGTTTGACTAGTCTTGAGCAAGAAATGACTCTGTGCTGTGTTAAATCAGTGAGATTTGGGGGGTTTGCTACAACTGCATAATTTATCCTGTTCTGTTTCAGACAAGACTCCTTCTAAGTAGGATCTTCACATAGGTTTTTTGAATTTCGAGAAAGGATGTTTTCCTCAGGGAGTCGTTGGCATGTCTGGCTAGTTATAGCCCTTTTCCCTGATGTGAGTTTAATGAAGAGGCTCAATATTTCTAATAGCAATCACAATAATTGGGGGGCTTACTCTGTGCTAATAATGTCAATGACAATATTCACAGCATTCATAGAAATGGGAGTTTGACCTCACTGAGGGGCCAGCACCATGTCAAGCACATTGCTAGCCTTATCTTATTAATTCTGAGAACAAGCGATTGAGTGGGTACTATCATGTCCCATTTTGTATAGGAGGAAGGCAAAGTTTAGAAGTTAATTATAATAAATAGTGCAAGTTCATACCTGATAAAAAGAGGAGTTGGGATTAGAATACAGATGCCAGAACCATCTTCTTGTCACTGAAGACAATTAACCCAAGGATATTTTCTTCCATTTTGTTGATGTTTATTCTCTACAGTGAAATTTTTCCAATAAGAATACGGTAACTCACTTATTCACTCAATGTCTCCTTTACTGACACTCCGTTCCTTTTCAAACACTTCTTAGCAAAGCCCCACAGTTTAATATTCAAAGCCAGTTCTCTGAATATTAAAATGTGCAACTTGAAGACACTTTAGGAGTTTTTAAGTAACAAACCACAGATTCAGCAAAGCAGCGAGCTGAGCGCATCCATTCTGTGCAGTCTCACCAGTAGTTCAAAGCCCCTCTGTATTGTTACTTCCTTCGGGAGCCTCCTAAATCCTGCTCAGAGAAACTCATTTTACAAAGAAAATACCCTATCCAAAAGACGTCTAAGTCATAAAAAATTCTAACCGACCGTAGGCTAAATGAATGACATTCCATAATTTAAAAACATGAAAATGAATACATTTATTTCCCCTTGACACCTTTCTGGACAGATTTTTACCATATCCTTGTAGCTAATTGGAAGTAGTTCTGTTCTTTTATTTCTTGCTGAAATTATTATTTTGGAGAGTTGCTCAGTGAACCCAGCAAAATCTTATTTTGTGCAGCTCCATGCATTTATTGGCTCTTGAATCTGATATTCTCCAGATTCCTGCCAGGCAGGATTTTCTCAGTTCTCAGGATTAATATGTGTCTCAGGGGGAAGGGACAAGGGGTCAGGGATGCGCCAGAAGTGAGCCAGAGGAAGCGTCAGGAGTGAATGCAAGAGGCAGTGACAGACGGGACCGCTAGGTTCCCCCTTGATGAGACGTGCATTGATTTTGATCAGTAAGTCCTGCCAATGGACTTTCAGAAGGAATGTGCATGCAACAGCTGTGTGTCTTTGTTCCCTCCGGCTTACTCCTCTAAGCAGCAAGGGGCTTGATACATTTCACAGGATAAACTTGTTGAATACAGCCCCAAATCCTGCAGAGTCTCCTGTCCTCAATACCTTAATACCTTCATGCTCACTAATCCAGGTTCACTTAGGGCTCACAAGGCTGGATTCACCTCATCGTCCAAGCAGCAGTTTCAGTTTCTGAAATCATCCTCAGCATTTGACATGAAGATAGATATGCTTATTAAATAGTACCTAGGGTGTCTTCTAATGAACTTCATGGAGACTCTACAGTAAGTGCCATGGGGTGGGGAGGCCAAGAGGGCAGGGATCTGGGTTCCCTACCTTCATTCTATGAGACAGCTCTGCTTTGCTGGGTTTATATATTGACTTTCTGTGAATAATTTTGTTTGGGAGTGGTGTTGGAAGATTTCAGCTGTTACAGAGAGGTTGAAGGTAGTTGATGTAATTCCAGCCCCCATTCAATGCATAAGCCCTCTCTTCAATATCTATTTTATATAATAAAAGGTAATATGACTGAACAACAGAATGACTGGAATGCCTGTGGCCCCTCACCCCAGCTGGCCCACTCCCGATGGCCCCCATCAGGGCAGGCCAGCTGGACCCCACCAGTGCACGAATTCGTGCATCCAGCCTCTAGTATGTCATAATTTTCTTTTAAAATATATTTTATTGATTTTTACAGAGAGGAAGGGAGAGGGATAGAGAGTTAGAAATGTGGGAGAGAGAGAAACATTGATTAGCTGCCTCCTGCACACCTCCTACTGGGGATGTGCCTGCAACCAAAGTATGTGCCCTTGACCAGAATGGAACCCAGACCCTTTAATCCGAAGGCTGATGCTCTATCCACTGAGCCAAGCCGGTTAGGGCAATATCATGTTTCTATCTTTTCTTGAACACCCCCTGTTGTGAGTAATGCTCACCTGTCAGAATTCACATAACAGACTCAGAGACAGAAGTATGGCAAAAATGAGACGTTTAATACATTCTTGCAAGAGTGGGTGTCTGGTTGTACATATCCCCTAGGGTGGGAGAGTCCCTCCTCCAGTTCCTAACTGGCCGAGTCCTATGGGGTTAATAGTTTCCTCATATGTCACTAGGTCTTATTGTCTCCTGCTGGGCCATTTAAAAAAACAGGCTAAGGCCTTTTCTAGTTGTCTGTTCCTCCCCCTGTCTAGTTGAGGCTGGCACGAGGTGTTTCATCCTGGGTGCCTCTGGGGTTTCCATCATGATGCTAGCTCACGTACACGCTTCTTCTTTCTTCTATCCTCTTCCCTCCTCCCTACATTCTGTTTGCCCCGGGGAAATTCAGCAACCATTTCCATTAAAAGTTGACTATTTTGAAGATGGATCACAGAGGCCTCTTTCCTGCCCCTGTGACACACTATAAAGCCAGCTCCATTAGGGGTACCCTGCAGCTTGTTAGCGATGCATGCTCTCAGGCCCCACCCTGATGGCCCAGATCATAGTGCGCATTTTTAACAAGACTACCTGATGATTTGTGTGCAAGTTCAAGTTTGTAGCTTGGTGCTCTCAATCGTGGCCGCACATTGGAATCACCTGGGGAGCACTGAAAAATTCCTACCTGTGGATGCATGACAGGGCTTCTCATTAGAATTGGTCCGCAGCACAGATCGGGCATCAGAGTTATAGAAACTCTGCTGGGGATTCTCCGTGCAGCAGGGCTGAGTCACTGTCATCGAGCCTCTTGCTGCTGGCTGTGACTGACACCTTCCTCCTCAAACCGAGTGAAAACCTGCGCCCTGTGGCATTCACTACTTCATCCGAGGCCACGAGCGACCAGCCGAAGCCACCTTCTGGTCCTGCAAACTCAAGGGACCACGCCCTTCCTCAGAGCCCTCTTTCCATCTTGGCCTTCTCTGCCACCCTCCTTTGACACCTCTGAGCAGCCTCATCCTCTTACTCTTTCTCCGGCCACCCCCCCAGGCTGTCTCTTCTTCAAGATACCTGCTTGACTTTTTACTTCCAACAAAAACATTATCTTCTCTGCTGATAAACAGGGTTTCTTTGTAGTAAAGGAAAGCAAAACCCATGGATTTCTTTGTTCACTTTTACTTCCAGACTTTAGAGCCCAATCCCAAATCCCTGCCAGTGCGGTTGGAGGTGACATTGTACTAATGAATAATTATACACCTGACCTTGTGCTTGGGGCTGGGGATGTAGAGGGGAATCCCTTGGTCTTTTCCCAGGAGTTTAGCCTGTGGTGGAGACAGAGAGGTGATTGACAGTAGGTATCTCTTCAAAGGGAGTGGAGACCTTGAGGAGGGGTGTCAGGGGCCTTTATTTAGTATATATAAAATATAAAAAATATATAAACATGTAAAAATTTAAAAACTACCCTGAGATACAGTAGGTGTTTTGTTACCACGTGAAGAGAGAGTAACGAGAATGCAGAAGTGAGACTCTCATTCAGGCTGACGAGGGGAGCTTCCTGGAGGAGGTGCTGCCAGGCCAGACCCCAGTATGGAAGCAGGAGGCCAGTGCTCCTGGTGAGGAAAACAGCGAGTGCAAAGGCACAGGTGGGGCCCTGGCATGCTGAGCGTGCTGTGGTGCGGCTCAGATGGAGGAAGTATGGCTGTGAGGAAGTATCAGGAGTCTTGGCCAGAAAGGTGGACAGAAGCCAAATTAAGAAAGGCTGGAGAGTTTGTAGTTTATTTCAAGGTTTATGGGAAACCATGAAGCAGGTTAGTTTCTTTTAAATGTTTTTATTGATATTTATTTTGGAGAGAGAAGAAGGGAGAGGGAGGAAGAGAAACATCGATGGGAGAGAGAAACAATGACCAGCTGCATCCTGCACTCACCCAACCGAGGTTCAAGCCCGTACCTTTTGGTGCACAGGA